GACTGAGGATCACTGTTCAAAGCCATGCCAGGTCGTAAAGTCCATGAGACTATTATCTCCAATTAATTACCAAAAAGCCAACTGTTGAGCTGTGGCTCAAGTGAAAGAATGTTAGTTTTGAGCAAAAAAGGCTCAGGAACAGTACCCTGACTCCTAGTCTAAAGCCCAAGACGGTCACAAACAAACATAGATAAGTCAAAACCTAATTTAAAGCTGAGTGTGGGTGGTTCATGACTATAATCCTAGCTACCAAGGAAGCTGAGATCTGAGGATCATGGTTCAAAGCCAGCTTGGGCAGGAAAGTCCATGAGCCTCCTTTTTTTTTTTTTTTTCCTCCCCTAGGAGACTCTTATCTCTAATAAACCACCAGAAAATCAGAAGTGGCGCTGTGGTAGTAGAGGACTTGCCTTGAGCTGAAGTGCACAGGGACAATGCCCAAGCATAGCTTTGAATTATGTGACTGCAAAGAAAGGTAAAAGATCCATGAGTCATTTCTTTTTATTAAAGAAATAAGAGAATATTTTTTCAGTCGTGGGGCTTGAACTCTGGAGGAGTGCTCTACCACTCAAGCCACAGTACCACTTGTGGCTTTTTCTGTTTAAGTGGTGCTGAGAATGGAACCCAGGACCTCATGTGTGTGAGGCAAGCACTCCACCACTGAGCCACCTTCCCAGCCCCTAAAGATAATACTTTTAAAATGGCTTTCAAATGAAATCATCAAGGAGAAGCAAAGAGAGAATCTGTAGTCTAGCTCCAGCTACCTTCCCAGCCCCAGGCAAGGGTTTTTGGTGGGTAAGTTAGGTAAGGTCCACTCAAAGCAAGGGTAACCTTCAGGACTCCTTTCCTCAGATATGTCCTTTTATTCTTTGTTTCTATTCGCTCTTGAAGAATTCCCAGATTTTTTTTTGCCATTTTCAAGAAAGGAGATTTAGATAGCTTCTCTTTTATCTTTTAATATTGTAATTTAACATTAGAAAGAACGTTTGGAGGCTGGGATCGTGGCTCAGTGGTAGAGTGCTTGCCTTGCATGCATGAGGCCCTGGGTTCAATTCCTCAGCACCACATAAGCAGAAAAAGCCAGAAGTGGGGCTATGGCTCAAGTGGTAGAGCACTAGCCTTGAGCTGAAGAGCTCAGGGACTGTGCCCAGGCCCAGAGTTCAGATGCCATGACAAAAAAAAAAGAAAGAAAGAAAGAAAGACAGGTCGGTGAGAGAGAAATTTATCGACTTTTTCAGTTTACTCCTGGTAACTTGTGTATGTGTGTGTGTGTGTGAATTGTGGGGCCTGAGCACTGTCCCTCAGCTCTTCAGCTCAAGGCCAGTGCCCTACCATTTGAGCCACAGCACTACTTCTGGTTTTCTGGTGGTTATTGTAGAAAAGTCTGAAGGACTTTCCTGCCTGTGCTGGCTTTGAACCGTGATCCTCAGATCTGTCTCCTTAGAAGCTAGGATTACAGGCATGAGCCACCAGCGCCCTGCTTCCTTTTCAGTGTGGCTCTTTTGGTATTTGTTAAAACAACAATGACAACAAGGGTTGGGAATGTGGCTTAGTGGTAGAGTGCTTGCTTAGCATTCATGAAGTCCTGGGTTTGATTCCTCAGTACCACATAAACAGAAAAGGCTGGAAGTGGCTCTGTGGATTAAGTGGTAGAGCACTAGCCTTGAGCACAAGGAGGCTTAAGGACAGAGCCCAGGCCCTGAGTTCAAGCCCCAGGACTGGCGAAAAACAACAACAACAACAACAAAAACTATGCTATTCATTAGGCACATCAAATTGTAATACCTGTACATTGGAATTTATATCTAAGCATGAATTATAAAGGGGACTATTTAAAACCAATTAAGGTGGGTGCTGGTTGCCCAAAACTGTAATTCTCACTACAGAAGAGGCTGAGATCTGATGATCGTGGTTCAAAGCCATTCCAGGCAGGAAGTCCAAGAGACCCTACCTCCAATTAAACACCAAAAAAGCCAGAAGTGGAGCTGTGGCTAGCCTTGAGCAAAAACCTCAGGGAGCTAGAATGCTAGCCTTGAGCAAAAAACCTCAGAGACAGCACCCAGCCCTGAGTTCAAGCCCCAAGACTCCCACACATAAAGAAAACAAATTAGAATATATTACTAACTGAAGCCATAGAGCTTGCAATCATTAATGGCTCAATCTAGTGGCCTTAGACACTTAATTTTATTTTGACCACAGCTGTTTATTCCTCAATTTTTTTTTTTTGCCAGTCCTGGGGCCTGGATATTGTCCCAGAGCTTCTTTTGCTGAATGCTAGCACTCTACCACTTGAACCACTTCTGGCTTTTTTTGTTTATATGGGGAAGTGAACTCAGGGCTTTCACGTATGCTAGGCCAGCCTTCTACCTCTAAACCACATTCCAGCCTTGGTATTTAAATTTTTAATTCATACCTTTTATCTCAGCTATTCTGGAGGTGGATTGAAGCTATAGGCCAGCCCAAAGAGAAAGTGAGACTTGGGTATGCTGGAGTGAGCCTGTAAGGTCAAGCCTGAAGGTCAAGGAGATTAGCCCTGGCAGCTAAGCAAGACCCTATCTGAAAAATAAAACCAAAGCTTTTTTTTTTTTTTTTGTCGGTCTTGGGGCTTGAACTCTGGGCCTGGGCGCTGTCCCTCAGCTCTTCAGCTCAAGGCGAGTACTCTACCACTTGAGCTACAGTGCCACTTCCTGAAAAATAACTAAAACATAAAGGACTGGGGATGGGGGATGGGTTGAAGGGCTTGACTCCTGCCTAATAAACTTGATTCCAAGTCCAGTAATATTGCACCAAAGAAAGACTTTTTAATAAACCCCACCCAATACGTTTTAACATTAATCCCATCTTCCATCTCCTTTTTTTTTTTGTTGTTGTTGTTGGTCATGGATCTTGAACTCAGGGTCTGTGTGCTATCCCTCAGCTTTTCTGCGCAAGGCTAGTGCTCTTTTATTTTGAGCCACAGCACCACTTCCTGTTTTTTGGAGGTTAATTGGGGATAAGAGTCTCATGGACTTTTCCTGCCTGAGGCTGGCTTCAAAATTTGATTCTCAGATCTCAGCCTCCTGTGTAGCTAGGATTTGTTATGGGGAAAAGAGTCCACCACTCAATGACAGCCTCATGTAAAAAGATGACTTTATTGGGGAAGTGGATAGCTGACTGGCCAGCGACACAGCACAGACGCAGAGTAGCACAGATGCAGAGCTGAAACTGGACCCTGAATGGCCCACAAGCTAGAGTTTTTAAAGGCAAAATCCACGTGGTCAAGCCTGGTCACACGCAGGTAACCAATGGGTTCGCAACACACACAAAGGATTGCATAGTCATGTTAGGCCACACGCAGGTGGCCAATGGAGTTACAGTCTGTCTTATAGTAGTTGCTTAAACTATCCCATCATTTTGGTTTGAATTGGCACATGAATTTGGCAGGCAAAGGGCAGGGTTTACAGTAAGCCAGTGATATTGCCAGTTGAGCAAGATTACAACCTATCTGCTTTATTGGTCAGTCTTTTAACTGAACAATCAAGGATGGGTTAGATTGTAGATTGTTAAGGGGAGGGGGATCAAATGCATTTTTTTTCATTCTGGAAACTAGGCCCATCGGAGCCAAGACATGACCCTGTGATTAAGGTTGTTTTTCTAGTTTGAACATTGCTTAATGGTTTTTAGTCACCACCTTCAAAAATGGAGTCTAAAATCCCTAAAACAAGCAAAGCTCAAAATGGAATCAATCAGCTTGGGCCCCATCTCAGGGTCCACTTCAGATCGCAGGCTTGAGCCACCAGTGCCTGGCTTGTGGTTTTGTTGTTGTTGGTTGTGGGCTTGAACTCAGCCTAGGCATTCTCCTCAGCTCTTCAGCTCAAGGTTAGGGCTCTACCACTTGAGCTACAGCGCCACTTCCGGTTTTCTGGTGGTTAATTGGAGATTAGTCTCACAGACTTTCCAGCATGGGCTGGCTTTGAACCCCGATCTTCAGATCTCAGCCTCTTGACTAGCTGCGACCCTCAGATCTCAGCCTTCTGAATAGGTAAGAGTCGTGGGCTCCTGGCCTGGGGAGAGTATTTTTAAAAGGCCTTGAGAAGATTGGCAGTTTAGCAAAGAAGGTTGGGAGGGAAATACTTCACAGACAAGTTGACAGGGAAAGGTTGGCAATATGAAAGGCAATTAAAGAACAAAGCGAGACATTTATTTCCATTGTGAAACTGTGTGAGGAGTGGATGGATGAATTTTCTTCGGCTCCCTTTAAACTCTTAAGGGGGGGAGGGGGGGCGACAGCCTCTGACTGAGAAGCTAAGGGCTGTTGATGGGTTGAGTTAGCCAGGGCTGTTGAGAAATTCCTTTCTTGACAATACGAATATGTCCCAGCCTTTGTCTCAAGACAATCCACTGGGCAAGCAATCAGAAGGGAAAGTACTTTGTCTACACGTTTCCGATCATTTGCAAAGCCACTGGAAGTATGTGTGCACCAGGAGCTTTGTGGTGTCCTAGAGATCCTCCTAGGTCTGACCCGACTCGAGGTCAAATGCTTCTTAGGGCAGACTCCCCTACGAGGAGTTGTTATTAATGTTTCCAAACTCGGCGGGTACTGTGTCTCCACGGTGCCTCACTGCCTAACGAGCCCTGCCAGGAATCACTTCGATTATTGATTTCCAAGGCTTCAGCAATTGCAGGAAGCTGGGCCTTCTGCGCTTGCCGTAACGTGGACTCTACCACTGCCTTCCGGTGGGGGGATTCGGAAGCGGCGGAAGGAGACCAGAGGCTGTGGGGTGGGCAGGCCGGGAACCCGGGAGGATCGCCGCTCGACAGATCTCGTCCCCGGCCGGCCCGTCTCCCCGCGCCCCTCCCGCCGCCCTCCCCGCCCGGCAGGGCGGCCTCGGCCTCGGCTCGGCGGCGCCGTCCCCGTGGACGCGGGTGAGTGTCGGCGTGCGAGGCCCGGCTGCGTGCGGGGCCCCGGCCGCGCTCCGCGCCCCGGCCGCGCTCCGCACCCCCGCGTTTTCGGGCTCGGTGGCGGCGGCCGGCCGGGAGGCGGCCTCGGCTCGCAGTAATGGCAGCGCTGTGAGCGGGGGAACGCGAGCTGACAGCCGCCGCCGCCCACCTTCCGCGCCGGGCTCCGTCCTGCTCGCCCGCGGGCGGCCTCCCCTCCCCGGCCCCTGCCCCGCGTCCTGCCTCCGCAGAAGGTAACCCCGCCGGGCCGCGGGGCCGGGCTGCGGGCGCCGGGGAACTTCCCGGGAAGGGGCGGCGGGGATGGGCGGAGGAGAGGAGCTGGGGGCGCCGGGGGCGGAAGGGAGGAGGATTACCGGGGGTGGGGGTGGGGGGAGGCCGCCAAAGATGGTCTCCTGTCATTGACCTCGGCTCCCCGGAGCGCTGACCCCGAGACCGGCTACCCCGCGGGACCGGGACTGGACCTCGGGCCTCCGGGGCCGGGTCGTGGCCGACCCTGCCTCGGCCCCATTTTCCTCCAAAGCCGGGGAGGTGAGAGTGCGTGCGCTCTCCCGCTCCGGCTCCCGCTCGCGTCTGCTCGCGCGGACGCCGAGGTCTGTGCGGGGCGAGGGCGGTGGCAAGCCCACGCATCCCCTCCACGAGTATTTTCACTTTTGTTTCCGCAGACAGGTGAAGATGGATAGCTTTGGGGAGGAGTATCTCATTCTGAGAGCCTCTGCACTTACTTACGGTCCCTGAAACCAGAGCCTGCCCTCCTGCCACCACTTGCTCCCCACTCTAGGTTCTGGACTGTTCCCCTCCCCTTACCTTCTCTGGGAGAAAGACATCTGTGGATTTGCACGCAGTCACTGTCGAAGTTCTTTTCCTTTCCCTTCCCTCCTCTCCCCGAGGTTACAAATTCCCAGTTGAATGGCAGGCCCCTGGAAGTTTACATTTGGAGTTGAGGTAGCAATTGTGAACAATCGCGTGTAGACGCTCGACATTTTGGTGTAAAGATCTTTGCACTGTACCTGCCCCCCCAAGCCTGCTTAACACACTAAAATACGGGACATCGTCACTTGCTCTAGACAGATAAACATCAGCTTATTAGATATCATCAAGTGCCTTGCCCCTATGAGCAGTACTTGGGAGACCCTTCCAAAGGAGTCAGAGGTGAAAGAATCAAAGTGTTTCGTGTTGCCTGTTCGTGTGCGTGTGCATGCGTTGTCTTTTGCAGGTGCCACTTATGAGTGGCGGGAACATTTTCTACACTGTACACGTTATTTTTGTATATTTTCTACAGTGCACATGTTTTTTGTTTGAAAGTACTGGAGATTGAACTCAAACCCTGAGGACTGCTAAAGTGTTACACCGCATGAGCCACGCCTCTAGTCTGTTTTACCTCATTTCTCCCCTCTTTGGTGATTTCTACGTTCAGTAAATATGAAGGTCTTGTCGACATTCGAATTACAGCAATATGTCATGAAATTTCTGCACTTAGTGAATTAATTTTGGTGGGGTAGGAGACAAACGGTAATTATAAAAATAATTTGAGAATAGGGCTGGGAAGTTGGTTCAGTAGAGTGCTTGCCTTGCATGCATGAGGCCCTAGGCTCGATTCCTCAGCACCACATAAGTAGAAAAAGCCGAAAGTGGCGCTGTGGTTCAGGTGGTAGAGCATTAGTCTTGAACTGAAGAGCTGAGAGACAGCGCCCAGGCCCAGAATTCAGGTCCCACCACCGACCAAAGAAAACAAAACAAAAATTGTGAATAAATATAATGAAGGAAATGAAGAATGGTTGTAGTGATTAGGAGATTATTTCAGGAAAGGTCTGACTTTTTAGGCCTTTGAGCTGATATTTGCAAATGGAGAAGGACCAAGCCTGTGGAAGTTCAAAAGGAAATATTCCTGTGTGAAGAAAAAGCAACTGGGGCTGGGAAGTTGGCTCAGTGGTAGAGCGCTTGCCTTGCATGCCTGAGGCCCTGGGTTCGATTCCTCAGCACCACATAAGCAAAAAAAAAAAAAAAAAAAAAAAAAGCCAGAAGTGGCGCTGTGGCTCAAGTGGTAGAGCGCTAGCCTTGAGCTGAAGAGCTGAGGGACAGCGCCCAGGTCCAGAGTTCAGGCCCCACGACCGGACCCAAAAAAAAAAAAAAAAAGAAAAAGCAACTGAACAAGCCCTGTAGTAGTGTCAGTCTTGGGTGTAGCAAACTGAAAGCCAACTGTCTTGAGGTAGACAGGCCCTAGTGAAGAGAAGTGTAGGTCATAATTGGGTGCCAGATCAGGTGAGACCTGTTCCAAGGAGTTTAGCTTTTACATTGAAAACACTTGTTATTTTCCTTTGAAAGTTGTAAGTAAATGATTGTGTAGTAGAGAGGAGAAAGGCAGTGAGATGAGTGGCAAGAGTGGCCTTAGAGTGTAACAAGGTTTGGAGTTAAAGCTTTTTATTGACCTTGTCACAGTTTGGATAAAAAAATGCATTTGGACCAGGTGCTGATGGCTCATGCCTATAATCCTAACTACTTAGGAGGCTGAGATCTGAAGATCACAGTTTGAAGCCAGCCTGGGCAGAAAAGTCCCTGTGAAGCTTATCAGTTAACCCTCAAAACCGGCTCAAAGTGCTAGAGTACTAGCCTTGAGCAGAAAAGCTCAAGGGCAGTGCTCAGCCCTTGATTTCAAGCCCTACCACCTACCAGAAAAAAAGTGCGTTTGGTAGGGATGGACTGCCTTGGGATGGGCTGAAGATCTTATGCACAGGGATGGGGAATTGCTGAGGGAAGCAGGTTATATGGTGCTGGCTTTGGATTGGGCATGTTAAAATGGATCTTAGTCCTTCAAGGGGAGGTGAGAAGTAGGCAGCTAACTGTACAGGTTGAATTTTGTGGAGTGGTTAAGAATTAATGCTTGCTTGCTCGCTTACTCAGGCAATTGTGGAGATACTGAAAAATAGAAATCTCTGCCTTTATTCCTAGTGGGGAGAAAAAGATGGAGATATGGAATCATCATCAGCATTTATCTGTTGGTACAGTGTGCTGTATTATTATTATTATTTTTTTTTGGTTGGTCGTGGGGCCTGAACTCTGGGCCTGGGCACTGACCCTGAGCTCTTCAACTCAAGGAGAGCGCTCTACCACTTGAGCCACAACACCAGTTTCGGTTTTCTGGTGGTTAATTGGATATAAGGGTCTCATGGACTTTCCTGCCTAGGCTGGCTTTGAACTGCGATCCTCAGATCTCACTCTCCTGAGTAGCTAGGATTACAGGTGTGACCCACTGGTGCTGGGTTATGTGCTATATTTTTTTGAATAAAAATATTCATATCAATCTGGGGTGCCAGTGACTCTTGCCTGTAATCCTAGTTACTCAGGAGGCTGAGATTTGAGGAAAGTCTATTAGGCTTTTATTTCCAATTATCTGCCAGAAAGCTGGAGGTGGAGCTATGGCTCAAGTGGTAGAGTGTTGGCCTTGAGCAAAAATGTTTGGGACAGTGTCCAGGCCCTGAGTTCAAGCCTCCAGGACTAGTGCACACATGCATGCCCATGCACACACAAATATTCACATTCAACATTTAAAATGTTCATTAAGGGTTAGCATTCAAGTGACTCCTACTTTTTCTGAGTCCTCATCACCTAGTTTTCCTTGGAGCAAAAACAAGCCCAGCTGTTCCTTACCTCTCATTCCAAAGGTTTCTGCTTATACCTGTAAGCAGATGTGTGTATATTACTCTCATTTTGCAAAAATGGTAACATTCTTTACCTGCTTCGAAACTTTGTATTTTTTTTTTCTTTTTTTTTTTTTTGTCGGTCGTGGGGCTTGAACTCCGGGCCTGGGAGCTGTCCCTCAGCTCTTCAGCTCAAGGCGAGCGCTCTACCATTTGAGCTACAGCGCCACTTCCGGTTTTCTGGTGGTTTATTGGAGATAGGAGTCTCACGGTCTTTCCTGCCCGGGCTGGCTTTGAACCGCGATCCTCAGATCTCAGCCTCCTGAGTAGCTAGGATTACAGGCGTGAGCCACCAGCGCCCGGCTCTTTCTTTTTTTTTTTTTTGTGGTTGTGGGGCTTGAATTTTGGGCTTGGGGCGCTGTCCATGCACTCTTCAGCTCAAGGTGAGTGCTCTACCACTTGAGCCACAGCACCACTTCTGGTTTTCTACTGGTTTATTGGAGATCAAAGACTCACGGAGTTTCCTACCCGGGCTGGCTTTGAACCGTGGTCTTCAGATCTCAGCCTACTGAGTAGCTAGGATTACAGGCAAGAGCCACTGGTGCCCGGCGAAACTTTGTATTTTTTAGAGTATTCATACTTAAAAGTTATGAAATATGCTGGGTGCCTGTGCTTTATCCCTGTAATCCTAGCTACTACAAGAGTCTGAGATCTGAGGGTCTGGGCTTAAAGCTAACTGGAATAGGCAAATCCTAGGACTCCAGTTAACTAGCAAAACAACCAGGAGTAGAGTCAAGGCTTAAGTGGTAGAGAATGACAGTTGTGAGTGAAAAAACTCAGCAGTTTGAGGCCTTGTTCAAGCCCCATACCACTACACAAAAGATGAAAACACTTAGAGAAGATAGGAAAATGAGAACACAGAGTACTATACCATTTTCTAATGGATACCTTTGAGACTTTGGCCTATAGATGTGAAGTGTTTAAGGAGTATCGTTGTTGTTGAACTTTTCACATTTTTCACTGGACAACCTCATCTGCCATTTCTTTGTGTTAAATTGTGATTCTTATTTGCCAGGTGCTGGTGCCTCATACCTGTAATCCTAGCAATTTAAAAGACCTGCGGATTTGGCTCAAAGCCAGCATGGACAGTAGAGTTTGAGACTCCAATTGCCCATCAAAATGCTTGAAGTGGAGCTAGAGTGCTAGCCTTGAGCACAAAAGCTCAGAGAGGACTCAGACCCTGAGTTCAAGCCCTAGGACCAGCAAGTCCTCTCTCCCCCTCCCCTTTTTTTTTTCCAGTTATGTATGTGACTTAAGTTTTTTAAAATTCATGATGGGATTAGTTCTTAATATTATGGATCTTAGTATCTAACTTTTTAGATACTAAGTTAGATGGCTAACTTTTTATTTGTTTTTGTGGTACTGGTGATTTAAGTGAAGGCCTTGTACTAGGCAAGCACTCTGCCTGTTGAGCCATATTCCCATCCCATAGGACTGGCTAATGTAAATCTTGGAAAAGTACGCTAGAATTTAGAATGTTAGGAGATTTCTAACAAGTTGTTGATACTTTGAGATCTATGACTTAATCATCTCTTAAT